TGACAATCCCCTGGGGATATAATACTATAGATCCTCTGATTTATACAGGTGTATGTCCTGAAAGTCTATCATAAAGTGCAAGTATCATTAAGTCAAAAATGTATTTAATACACCTAACCTACCAAACAGCATAACTAGAGGATTAGTTGTTCATTCTTTTCACTGGCTGACTGGCAGTCCTGGTACACTGTTGCTGCTGGGGTCAGCACTGTTCAGAGTATCATATGGCATATTGATACTGAATGCATTCAACTCTCACACCATTAAAAACCATGTAAATTGAGGATTGCATTTTACCAGGAGCCCCTAGGAGCCTGAATGATTTCTATTTGGCCCGTATCCCAAGGTTACTAGGATTCACCTAGTTGTTGAACATACTCAGAACTTGAATGTCAAGTGAAATGAATGTGTCAAAGTGTTAGTCATCTAGTCCCCATGAACACCACTGACTTTTGACAGTGATGTTCCTGATTCCCATAAATTTAACTACAAGCCAATATTCAATATTTCTTTTTAAATATTTATTTATTTTGTTTTTGGCGGCCACAACATCTTTGTATGTGGTGCTGAGGATCGAACCCGGGCTGCACGAATGCCAAGCAAGCGCCCTACAGCTTGAGCCACATCCCCAGCCCAATATTCAATATTGCTGGTAAGTTTTTTCCAACTACCTACCAACTACCTACCTCAGTGTTGGTCTTTCTCCCAACACTGAGGTAGGTAGATGGCTGCAGAATGCTTTGGCAAAGCTAGGAAGATTCTTATTACATGTGGTCCTTTTAGGTCTGGCTTTCTTCAATCAAAGGGCTTGTGCCTAGAAATCTCTACTGTGCCAGGCCTATGTTCACATTTTTTTGATATATAATTAAGGTCTATTAACTTTATTCCTGTGAAGCTAGTATCCAACAGCTTTAAATATTTGTTACCAGACCACTTCACACACTAATTGTAATCAACACACACCGACCACCCTGCTGCTTTTATTAACCTGCCTACATGGCTTCCTAGAGTTTAAGTCATCACCTGACCTGCAATAACCTGATACCTCATTTCACTTTCATCTCTTAGTAAAGAAGAAATATTTGGTGTACTGTTAAGGTAAGGGCAGTGAGTAGAATGTATAGGGAACCAATCCAGCAATCTCATTCCTCTACATCATCTCAAATGCATTCTACCTTTTGATGTCATTTGGCAGACTCAATCATTAAATCCAGGCTTAGAAGTTGAAAAACCACATGGCCTGAAGCAAAATTGGTGTGAATGGTAAAACCAATAAACCTGAATCCATCTTCCTAATTCACCCCCCGAAAATTTATAATTTTAACAATGTAAATAAAACAACTACTTCTGAAATTCTGTCCTATTCAAAACCTACAATTCTTCCCCTGGGCAACAGAGCTAAAATCCTCCTAATGAAAAGTGAGGGCTGAGAATTGTTTACCTGATTGAAGCACACATTTCTTATTATAAAGAAAACTTTAAAGATCATACTAGAGGGCTTGGGGTTCCTTAATTTTTTTAGTTTTAGATGGACACAATATATCTTATGTGGTGCTAAGGATCGAACCCAGTGCCTCACGCATGCTAGGCAAGCACGCTACCGTATGAGCAACATCCCAGTGCCTCACCCATGCCAGGCAAGCACACTACCACATGAGCCACATCCCGAGGCCCATGTACTGGGGATTTAACCCAGGGGTGCTTTACCATTGAGTCCGTTCCCAGCCTTTTGAGCTGGGGTTCTAAGTTGTTGAGGGCCTTATTAAGTTGCCAAGTCTGGCTTTGAACTTGTGATCCTGTCTCCAAAGCCACTGGGATCACAGGTGTGTGCCATCATGCCCTGCTAAGAGACCCTAGTGAGTACAAAGTATTTTAATTCAGCAACCCTCCAATCAACTATATTTGGTTTTTAGTAGTCTCAGTCCTACAGCTTTAAAAGCAACACATGGTTGGCCCTGGTGTATGAATGCCTTTACTTCCAGGCAAGACTTCATGCTGGTACATGCCTGTAATCCCAGTGATTTGGGAGGCTGAGTCAGGAGGATCAAAAGTCCAAAGCCAGTGGTCTGGTGTCCTGAGTTCAATCTCCAATATTCGCTGCACCACCAAAAAAGTCCAAAGCTAGCCTCAGCTGTGGGAAGCCATTCTCACACGTGATTGGGCAACTCCCGGATTGGGTGTGAGGCGCTCTGGCTAAACTGTGTGGGAGCTTTCCCGACCCTCTCCTGGTGCGAAAGCCTGTCCATGTGGGGGTGTGACTGACCACCATCCCTGACCTTGGAGTGCTGCCCCCCTCAACCTTCATGGGATGGAATTTTCCCCTGAATTTCTTGTTCCCCAATAAAAGGCCACTCCCTGGCTTGCTCTCTTTCTCTCCTGCTAGCCCTGAGTAATAGTAATCCTTGCTGCCCTACCGGTGGTCGGGGCCATGAGCCAGAGAAGTGAGAGCCGTCTTGGACCTGGTCATAAAAAAAGGTAAAATTGAGTCTGTTTATTTTGATCTTGCTAGCTAACTTTTATGCCAAGAACCTCTTTAATAAAAGCAGTGCGCTGGTCGCATGATGGAACTCAGCAACTTAGCCAAGTGAGACCCTCAAAAGAAGGAAAAAGCATCTCACAGAACAGTTACTAAAGCCAAGAATGGTGGCACATGCTTGTGATGCATGTCTAGCAGTGGAGATGTAACTCAGTGGCTAAGTGTCCTTGAGTTCAATCCCCAGTACTCTCCCCTGCACCATCAACCTCAAAATGAAATCAGGGATAAAAAAAATCTGGGTTAAGGTAGGAATCCAGGTTGTTAAAAATGTCTTCTTAATAGCTAGAATTCCCACACCATTACCATTAACCTTCCTACTTATTTTCTATTCAAGACTCCATGTAATGTCCCAAACACTGTTTCCTTTGGGTGATATGGCAATTTTTTTAAAGAGAGAATTTTTTAAAATAGTTTTTGGCGGACACATTTTTGTATGTGGTGCTGAGGATCAAACCCGGGCCGCACGCATGCCAGGCGAGCGTGTTACCACTTGAGCCACATCCCCAACCCCCTGATGTGGCAATTTTTGTGTGTAGATTGGTTAGGGAGAAAAGCAGATTGGGAATAGTAGGCAGAATGTCATTACATAACACCATTCCAGAATGCTGTTTTGGCAGGGGTGGAGGGATGCAGTACCGGGGACTGAACTCTGGCAGTTGACACAGAGCCACACCCCCAGCCCTATTTTGTATTATTTAGACATGGGGTCTCACTTTAGTTGCTTTGCATCTCACTTGTTGAGGCTGGGCTTTCATGATCCTCCTGCCTCAGCTCCTGAGCTACTGGGATTACAGGTGCACCACCACAGGCCGCAGTTCAGAAGTTAACAAATTATAGTACTGTTGGAGACAGGCTTGTAATACAAATTTGGAGCAACTAGATATTCAAACCACTCTATCCAACTTTATCAACTCCATAGTAAATCCATAGGGATCCCATATATCCTTGTAATCTGGGTGAAAGGGTTATTCACTCAATCTTTCAAACTTAACAGATGAAGCCAATTGAGAAACTCAAAAATTAGTAGAAATCTTATTTTGGTGGTGGTGGTGGGGCTTTGGTGGACTGGGGATTATACGCTGGGGCTTGAAACCATTGAGCCACATCCCCAGTTCTTATGTTATTTGGAGTAAGGGTCCGAGTTGCTTAGTGTCTAGCGTTTTTTGCTGAAACTGGCTTTGAATTTGGGATCCTTCTGCCTCAGCTCCTGAGCAGCTGAGATAGGCATGTACCACTGCACCCAGCTAGTAGAAATATATCAAAGGAATCCTATTATTCTACCTGGACTGGAAGTACTTCCCATAACTTTCAATAAATTCAGATGTTGAGATTTGCATGTAATGTCACTATTACACTCGCAGCTGAGCATTATTTATGCCTAGTTCATGTGTATTTCTATTTGCAGATATACACCAGCATCACAAAACCTAAACCCCCCAATATTCTGTAATCAGAACCACCAATTAAAATATCCTCAGTGTGAAAAATGTCACATGCTCACAAGATTTTGACTTTAAGGAAGCAGGCAGATTTATGGTATGAGTGATAACAAGTTGGTGTACTATAATGGGTAAAAGCACTGGCTTTATAGGTTGGTCCAAGGTCAACAACTTTTAGTGTTATGATCCTGAAACAAACAACTTTGAGAGCCTTGATTTTGGTTTTTGTGTGTGGTGGAACATGCTTGTAATCTCAGTTAAGGACTGAAGCAAGGTTCCAAGACCGAGGGCAGTTTCAGTAACTTAGTGAGACCCTCCCATAAAAATTAAGTGCCACAGTAGAGTGCTTCTGGGCTCTTCAGTACAAAAACCAAACAAAACCAAGAATGAACCTTTCCATGCGACAGAGCCAAGAACACATTGGAAGATAGGAGTGAAAATCCATCTTAAAAACAGATGGTATAAATGGGACTTGTATTATTAACAGATCAACCCAAATACTTTTGTAGGATACATCAATGAGACATGGTTATTCCCAAGGATGCTGTATACCCTAGGCCAATAAATAGGCTGGGCAATTTCTTCTTGTCCTACCAACAACAAACAAAAAACAAAAAAGAGCTGGATTGAGACCACCTAGGCCCAAATGCCACCTTAGCAGTCTTTTGATCTATGTTACTTTACATTATGATTGTTAAGTGAAATTAATGCAAAACACATAAAAATAGCTGGGACATACTGAATTATATCTAAGTGCTATTAAAGCCAGTAGCATAACACCATTACCTATGACATTCTCAGAATTGGTTGGAAGAAGAAATTAAATGTAAAAGAAAATTAAATGTAAAATACCAAGGTATTCTAGGTAACCCTTATCCACTCTAAATATACTTCTGAGAAACACAATCTTAAAACAACAAAAAAAGTATAAATCTCAGCCCAGGAAGCATACTGCATCAGGGCCTAAACAACTATCCTAATTACCACAAGGTCAAAAGAAAACCAACACTTCTTTGTAAACTGAGTTGCACCAGTATTTTTGTCTCTTCATTTGCATTTATTTAACACAGTTCTCAAAACATTTGAGTGAAATTGGGCCTCCTTTGGTAAGCAAAGGACCTGAAAATATTTAAAAAATGAACAGGCAATGTCTTCAGTCCATCCACGACACAGGTGTAGTGTTCCCTTCTCTTACCCCACATTCTGAAGCACCCAGTTTTCTCATATAGTCTAAAAACTAGAACAAGAGTACATTTGTGGTGGAATGTATTGTTACTTGCTGATAACTAGACGAAAATACCATTATCCCCTTGTAACAGCTTTTAAGAAACAGCCTTAAGGGATACAATGTGTAACTCTTCTTATTCCTCTGCTATGATACAGATTACATAAAAGCTGACAAATCCACATTTATAAGCATTAAGCGCTTGCTGTATTGAAAGATTTTTAGTTCTAATACTAGCAGTACAGAGTTACAGAGCATATTTTTAACATTTATTTGCAAGTATATTAAATATGGTTTATGTTTCATGGATTGGAGTAAAATGGGCAGTTTTGTCTTTAAATTTACTGTCAAATTGGAATAGTTCTAAGCACTGATGTTAGAAAGAAAAGTAAAAATCAAATTGTTTATTGTTGCTTTTTACCATTTGGTAGCATTTTACACACAGGCTTCGATCTTCAGAATACCCTGGATTCAGTAGAAAAACCTTTTAAATGAAGTTTTGTACAATAGAAACTTCTCAGCAGTCAAAATTTGGACTGTAAAAAAATACATGCAAAACATACTTTTCTGAAAACACTTAACTTTGAACAAAGCACCGAACTACACAAATGCAGAATGAAAACAGCATTTCAACTCCACCAAAAGTAGTCATCATAAAAGGTGTAAAAGTCACCTAACTTCACTAGGCACTGTTCACTTTTTAAACATGAGACAATAAAAAATATTGTCCACAAACAATATCCCAGCTCTATGGCAGGTTTCAGAAAATCTTCAACTTCATGCTTTAATAGCGACCTGGAAAGAAAATGAAAAATTAACATGTTTTAATGCTAAGGGAGCAGTATATCAAGCTTATTTGAATGCTAAGAACTTTTATTAGACTATTCTACAATTAGGAAATTTCTAGCAGATTCCCTTTGTGGGAATAACAGAAGTGTGTACAAAAAATAGAAATGAGATAACCGGTGTTAAATACTAGATATGAGAGATAAGAGTCTAAAAACCCAACTGGGAGGGAGGGGATAAGTGTTGGGGAATGATCCTGGCTAACTTATGTTGTCATACTGCATACATGACTATGTAACAATGAATCCCATCATTAGGCACAGCTATGAGGTACCAATAAAAAATGTGGAAAGCAAAAAAGCAGATGCAAGAACATATAATAAACGACCCAATTCCAGTTGTCCAAAATTTGTAATAGTTCCCAAAGCAGGAAAAAAAAAAAATGGTGACAGATTATGTTAGGCTTATTGAACAATTAAATGGATCCTAACGTAGATATAATAGATAATAGATATACAATGATAATATGTGGACCAACCCATTATTTGCAAAAAGATCACTCAACTAGCTGTAGATGCCAAGTCAGAACAAGTCATAATATTATAATATATAAACAAAATCATAAAGATAAAAAACTTACGAGGTGAGTAGGATCGAGATCTGGAACGTGACCTGTATCCTCCACGACTGTAGTAAGGAGAAGGTGACCGCCTTCTGTAAACAAACGTCAAGGTTGTCTAAGTCTCTACAAATTACGATTATACAACAAAAACTAGAAGGACCTAACAAACCTTTAATGTTTTCATTAGTTAGGCTTCAAAGGCTAAATTTTCAGAATGAACATCATACTGGGCTCTAGTGTACTGGAATAAGCATCTCCTAAAAAATATCAGGTTAAATACTCCTTGCTATATTCCATCAATATAATGTTATAAAATTCCCTTACCATTATTTACAACCACTTTTAACACCATAAATAAAGTTGACTAGTGTTTCAAGTAGGTTGTACTTATTTAAAAAAGAAAAACTGAGAAATTAAGAGTGTAAGAACACAGCAGTCATAAGCAAATGACTACAAATCTGCAACCATATCCATGACTTAATTGCTTCCCATTATTTATGAAATGACACCAATTACTTATTATAAGTCAAATTAACTTTTATGAACACTACAAAGCCCTTTTTATTGTTAAAGAGTATTTTAATAAACTAAAAGAAATCCAATTTTGTGATGTCACTTAAAACTACCTACATATAATCAGTACCTATATAGCAAACATCTTTAATGTTTTCTGTTTTTGTCCAGATTTAAATTCTCTCCTGACATACCTGTAAATCTGATCCCTGTCTTGAGCAGCTCTCCATCCACCTCCTCCTCCACCTCCTCCTCTGTGAAGACAGAAAAGCAACATTTAGTTATAAGATAAAACGAAAATGAAGTGCAGCAGTTCACACCTCTAAGATCAGTGTTTCAAGGGGCTGAAGCATGATGGCAAATTTATAAGGCCAGCCCCAGCAACTTAGGAGGGACCCTCTCCCTTGCCAAAAAGAAAAAAGTGTGTGGGGTCAGGTATGGCTCCACAATCCCCAGTACCTCACAAAAAAACCTCATGAACCTTGAGTGAAACTAGTTGGGGGTGGGGGCACAATACTGGAAATAGAACCCAGAAGTATTCAACCACTGTGAGCTATATTCCTAGCTCTTTTTACTTTTTGAGTAAAGTCTTGCTAAGTTCTCCTGGCTGGCCTTGAAATTTGAAATTCTGCCTTAGCCTTCTGAGTCACAAGGGATTACAGGTGTTTGGCACTGTGCCCAGTGAATACTAGTGTTGTATAATAGATAGTCAATTTTGCCATCCTTTTTAGAAAATTGTAGTGCTCTCTCTGGTGGCTAAAATGAGTATTAACACTACAGAACATTTCCAAGGAAATGCTACCAAGTGAATGAAAAATGAAGACTATAATCTTAGCCTCTACTCTTAAGTGTTGTTTAATGTATTTCTTATTTAAAAAGAACAAATATTTTGAGTTTGTGTGGGTTAAATGTTGGCAATGTCAAAAGCATACTTAATAAACTCACTCCTACAAACAGCAACAATATAATCGATTTTTCTTTTTTGGGTACTTGGGCTTGAACTCAGGGACACTTTACCACTGAGCTGAATCCCAAGACAGGCCTCAATCTGAACTCTGCCATCTTCTGAATCACTGGGATTACAGGAATGTGCAAATAAACCTGGCTAGGACAACTTCCAATTTTCTAAAATTTATCAAAGTACCATGCAAAGACATCCATACCTCAAAGCCACAAACCCATCAAGGTTAACAGTTATAGTTCATATCTAATCATCACATAAATTTACAATTTTACTTGAAAGCTAAACTACCCAACCACTGCCAAAATGGAAACATATGCCAACTTTCAGGGAATTCAGCCGATTCATATACAATGTTTAAAATAAAGTTTTATTATTATTTTTATTATTTTAGTTATTATTTATTAACAACTTTTGATAAAGCTCCCTTTAATATTTTAGAATAATCATTCAAAAAAATGCAAATACAGATACCAAATTAAAGACACATAATCCTTAAATTTGATTTAAACTCCAGCTTTTATTTCTTTATGGCACTGAGGTCAAAATCAAGACCGTGAGTACGCAAGCCCTCTGACACCGAGATACCGCCCCAACAGTAAAGCCTTTACTAAAAACTAAGCTTTGTGTTACTTTAAATAATACCTTACAATTGAGACTCAGAAGGGTAATGGCCTTCCATATAACATACCTGTATGATCTGCTATAGTAGTCCCGATCATCATAGCCTCGATCATATCCTCTGTCATAATAATCCCGACGGCGTGAGCTGCCACTGTGAATAATAATAAACCTTTTAAAAAATTCAGGTAGTCTTTTCTATCTTCCCAGATAAGACTTATGTTATTAAAAATCAGTACATATATATAGCAAAATACTATGCAGTGTTCTGGGTTTTTTAGTCAAGATCTATGTACACAACTGGATCTTTTTCTCCTGTACAAAAATAGTGGTATCTACAATATGTAGTTCTTCTCTGATATTTTAACTGGAAATGAATTTTATTATAACCCTCACCAATATCTGCCTTTCCCTTTTCTCATCCCTTGTAACAATATTTCATCTCGTTTGGTTAAGGAGGCTCACAGGTCCTAATCACTCATTTATTAAGCCAACTCATTGGTCTGGAGTTATGGCTCAGTGGTAGAGCGCTCGCCTGGTATATGTGAGGCACTAGGTTTGATCCTTAGCATCACATAAAAAAAATGAACAAAATGAAGGTATTGTGTCCATCTACAACTAAAAAAATACTTTATAAAGTTAATTCACTAGTTCACATTTCTAAGGAATAATAAAATTTCATTTTTCTGAGTAGGCTAAGGTTTAGCTAGGTCAGGAGAATATGCCAACCATGGAACATAGTCATAATTCTCTATTATATGGATTATATTTAGACTTACATGAATAATTTAAAGTTTTCTGTCAATATGGTACACAGCTGGGGAGTCATGATAAGAAGTATTTTATACTTCAGTGCAATAACTAAAGCCCATGCATTATATTCTGCAAAGAACACTTAAAAAAAACTTGATTTTATCATTTTATCATCTTATTACAGGAAATGATTTAAAGATGGCAAACAAAATTTGTGACACAAACAGAATGTTTCCATCACAATCTACCTAGTTTTAGCTAGTTAAGAGATAAGAAAAATGATTTACGAGGCCACAGGATTTTATGTAGGTGTCACTTCATCTCAAGTGTTTTCAGGAAGAAATTAACAAACTTCACTGTCAATCACACTTTTATCTTCCAAGTAAACTTACTAGGTTGGTCTCCCCATGTAAATTCCTGGTGTTGGGGTATGTGGTCTTTTTGTTATAGAGAAATCAACTCTGATTCTACGTCCATCAAGCTCCATTCCATTGGCACGTTCTTTAGCCTTCAAGAGATAAAAGATAAATAAATTGGTGCATGCATTTTAGATAAAAATACTAAATTATCCTATAGCTTTAAAAATAATAACCTAGTGGATGCTTTCAGTTAGTGTCAAACATTTAACATAGGCTAGAACATGAAATCTTAAAACTTAAAAATGAGTCATTTCATTTGGGAAAGCTGGTCGTAGAAACTTTTTCAATTTAACAATATTTCCAGCTCTAAAGTGATGCATGGTTGATAAACTACATTATCTGAGAGCCAAATATGGCCAGTTGCCTGACTCTTAATGATCCATAAACTAACAATCTAAGTGGCTAGGAATCAAATGAAATCCATAAATGAGTGAATACAGTGTCACACTTTCCTTTACATATGGATGCTTTTGGTTAAGCAGAACTGAGATCCTCTGATTTTACAAAGTTTTATTCACATATCCTCCTATCCAGAGTATACACCAACTGAAAAACTCTGCATTTAAAACCAAAAATACCCCATTTCAAAGTCTTGGAAGTTTGATAATTTGAGGAATCAACAGCCTTTAACCTAAGCAGAATTTAAGTTTCTAGTTCCAATGTTACTACTTTAGCACAGATTTTCAAGCCAGTGTTCATATAGCTGTAGCAAGTGAATCAGAAAATGCAGAAGCCTACTACACTGTCAGTGAGATTGGGCCAAATTGTGTAACTTTTGGCACCTACAACTAAAACAAATAAATAAAAAACATTAACCAGTAGGTTTGTATTGCTTCTGATTTTCTTGTTCCTTCCCCCTTAAGATGATGTCACAGCTACCACACCTTTTCATCTAAAGTCTGAAATGTAAATGCTGTTTGAATTTCACATGAAAGTTCCACTACATCCTGCCTCAAGTCAAATCAAAATCCAAATAAACCACTCACTTGCCAGTATACTTTTAAAAAATTAAAACATTGTTATAACCATAACTTCAGATTATTTTCCACCTTAGAAAACAGCTCAATGTAATCACTGATACTCTAAATCACAGAATTATTAATATTCCTGTATTTTACTTATACATGCCAAAACAGTAATACGTATTTACAGAAATAACAGTGACATGTTGCAATCATCTCAAAATTATATGGAAAGAACAGATTTGCAGCACAGCTAGCCATAGCTGAGAACTATTCAAACTAGGTGATAGAACCAAATGTCTTAAATCATTTTTCTGTTAATCCACATGGATTTGAAATTTCCCCACAATGAAAGGTTGAAAAAAGAATTCAATGTATAATTTGATATCTGAGGCTAGAAGGATTTACCTAAAACTGTATTTACATATCTCCTATTTATACCATAAATAGCAAAAATTGTCCTTGTCTAAGCACTTGTCCGTTAGTACTTGGGAGTTAAACAGAAATCCTTTTTTTTCCTTTTAATACAAAGGTAAATGTTTACTTACTTCCTTGGCATCATCTACATTTTCAAAATACACAAAGGCAAATCCTCTTGAACGCCTAGACTGCTGGTCATATACAATAGACACATCAGCAATGGGGCCATATTTAGAGAATACTTCTCTCAGATCTCTTTCTGTGGTATATAAGCTCAACCCAAATACTCCAAGACAACAGTTGGGGTCAGGATTTGCCTAGAAATAGAAAAAAGGGTATTAAACTTTGAAAACCTGTTTAGAGAGAAATAATGTGAAGGAACCCGTAAGATATATAATTAGACCAAATATCATTTAAAAATTACAAAGCACTGCAAATATTTTAAAGAATGGGCACAAAGACCACAGAAGAACTTGTTGAGACCCTGTTTCAAAAGGGAGGAAAAAAAAAAAAAAAAAAAAAAAAAAACAGGGCTGTAACTTAGTGGTAATGCAATCTGGATTTAATTCTCTGTAACAAAAACCAAGAAAGTAATTTCACAAGAACACACATATCCAATGCTATAGTTATCACTTTGTCCATAGGCATTATTTCTATTGGCCCTGCCCAGATACTAAAGTTGTATGTTCAAATTGCTAGCACATACTGCTCCTACAATGAAAAACTTGCTTGCACATAACCTTCTTGTATACTTTAAATCACTACAAGGGCTGGGGCTCAATTCCCAGCACCAAAAACAGTATCAAAAAACACCACTATATTTCTTAATTGCCTACTAAAATGTAAATGTCATGATGAAAAAATGGCACTAAAAAAAATTAGAAGTCAGCCCTCATTCATCGGTAGGTAAAAATTACAACTGTAGGGCCAGGGTGGTTGGTGGCTCAATGGTAGAGTGCTTGCCTCACAAGTGTTAAGCACTGGGCTCAATCCTCAACACCACATAAAAACAAAGTAAGTTTTTGTGTTCATCTTCAACTTAAAAAAAACCAAAAAACAAACAAACAAAAAAACCCAGCTTTTTAAAAAAATAATTACACCTGTACTAAAACAGACTTTTTTATTATTATACCTTAAACAATTCGGTTATATACCTATGAAAAAAACTTGACTTAACAAAATAGGCCCAGTAACAGTAATTATATGAATATGGTCTCAACTGCTTTCAGATGGCTAAGTGAGTAATGGTGGGGGTAGCATATGCGGTATAAACATGTTGTACAAAGGGATGGCTCATTCCTTGCCTAGGAAACAGCACAGCACCTGATTACATCATGCTAGTGATGGAATGGAAAGTTATTATGTCCAGACTTTCCATTTAGTATTTTCTGGAAATCAACAAATAAATGCAACCCAAGAGGATGTATACCAAACCATTTTTAACATGTATTAAGCAGTCTGCATTGATGCAACAAAAAGACCATGTTACTAACTTTCCAGTTTCCACAATGAAATTACCAGGTTTCACTTTTATATAATCACAATTTACTAGGGAAATTACATTCCATTTTAAAAACAAACTCCTTATACCAAAAATAAGTTTAAAATCAAATGAAAAAACTTAGGAGAGCACCTTTTAAAATTTATAAACCACGCCCCAGAATTATGAGTAACATCAGTATGGAGCTGTATGTTATACTGCTAATAGCTCTACTTTCCATGTTAGTTTTTTATTGGGCAAGCCACTGGGGACTGAACCCAAGAGTACTTTCACTAGAGTACTTGTTTTTATTGAGACAGGTTGGCTTTGGCCGTAAACCTGGGGATCCTCCCGCCTCATCTCAAAAGTCACTGGGATTATGATTATAGGGAGGTGTCACAGGCCAGCTATAAAAACCATTTCTTGGTTGGGGGAGGGAATAAGATGGGAATAAATAAGTTTTTCATCTTACCCGATTGCCAACATGGCGCCTTCGAGTAGACATGGGAGAATGACTGTGGCTGTGTCGTCTGCGATAATCTCTACTGTAAGACCTGCTACGGGAACGTCTATGGGAGCGGGAGCGGGACCGGGACCTTGTATAATGCCTTCGAGAGCTTCTTCTGGATCTAGACCTGTTAAGACAAAGGCTTAAAGGTTATAATAAATAACTGAAATAGATATGACTTTCAATGCTTTTATTACTGGAGGTTAAACTCCCAAAGTAACATGATCACCAATTTAAGTGGAGTCCATTTTTTCTTCTGTTCATTTCAACTTTGCTAGAAGTGTTGTCAAAACCACAAGCTATACCAACATTTCTTCAAATTAACAAAAGGTGAAATCAAATTTATACTCATCTTCTGAAAAATCAAGGCATGCAGCACTTTACTAGCTTAGTTTATGCACACCTTTTGCTTTTAATACCACTCTATTTCTGTCTCCCACTACTCACTTTAACACAATTATAAAATCACCACCACAGGCAGTTTTTTTTTACCAGTTTTTATTTTTTAAAAGATTAATAAGTGGCTCTCGACTAGCATTACACCACACAATCCAGGACACATTTGAGAGAAGAGGTGCTATGCCTGAAGAGGCATTAATAACCTGCGACTGTTCCAAGCAAAGCAGGGTGCACAGCCTTCTCTTAACACACACAAAAAAGCTCCCAAACCCCTCCAACACAGTGGTAAGTTTTTAAATCCACACTGGACTACACCTATTTAAAAGAACTGCAATTAATGAAAACTAATGTTTTAATATTTGCCAAACTAACAGTTTGCCTATAGTGAATCCTTACAACTTCAAAAAACTAATATAACTTGCCTTTTATAGATAATAAGCTAAAGTTGAAAAGGTTAAGTAAGTAATCTGCCCAAGCCAGCAAAAATGGAGGTAAGATTTGAACCCTGACTCCAAAAGCCCAGGCTCTTAACCACGTCTCTCTTCCACAACTTAGGTTCATTTCTAGTACCAATATTAAATAAGCCAACAAAAGATCTAACCCTCTCTATCTTCCTAGTTTAACAAAGCACACACCAATTTCAGAGCTAAGAGAAACAGAAGAAAATCTCAAGATTGTCTTTCTTACCTAGATTCAGATCTGGACCTGGACTTTGATCTGGAACGCCTGGAATCTTCCTTGGAGCGAGACCTTGCAGGGGTATGCCTTGCAGATTTCCCCGATCCGTGAGCACTTCCACTTCTGGAAGCAGAACGGGATTCCTACACGTAGATGTCAAAAGTTTAATTTGTATACTTTCTGGGCAACTTCAAAAACAAACAAGCTGCTGTGAGGTAAATGGTGAGGAGAGCAATCCTCTTCCAAAGATAAGAAAACATAGGTAAGGGCAGGAATTGCATATACCTGGTATAATAGTTTCATTCCTCCAACTGACATAAGTCAATTAATTTTTCCTTTCTTCCACCTTTCTGGAGCAGGAATAAGAGTTACCTGATCCCACTCCCTGAAGAAAGGGTGGTTAAGGGAACTGTCCAAGGATTGTATTTTGGGAATGTTACTCCATAAAGACCAGGGTGAGAAAGAATCTTATTAACTATGAAATCTATAACTTATTTTTTCAGTTAAGTTACAGTCAATTTTAAAACCCTACAAAATTTGCAAAACTTACTTTTAGAATGCTTTTGATAGTTCTCATAAGACTTCAAATTTTCAAGAGTTGTATTTATTGTTAAATGCGGAAAGAGACAAGGACAATGATCTCATTTTAAGTCCTAAAGGTGGATAGCTAGTGGAAAGCAAAGACCAGCCATATAAGACATTAAATAAATTCTATAAGACCCTAGGTTCATCTAATGGTGGGAGGCTCCTAAGAAATTCAACGTAATCAGATGGAGCTACAGTAGAAAGGCAATGGCCTGTTAAGACCTAGATTTCTCAGCTACATGGAGACAAGACAGGGTAAACTTATAAGAAACTGAGAATAAGTAAACTAGAAATGTTATATAAAAAATACATATTAAAACCAAGACAGATTAAATCATCAACTACTAATCTAGGGTCCAGGAAGGAAAGGTGACCCAGGAACTACAAGCAAAAACTGAAGTCTAGATAATCTGTGTACTCTAAGCTTTCTCAATCAAAATTCAAGTAGCTGGCAGGCGAGTAGCACAAAAAAAGATCACAAAAAGAAAGCAGCAAAGGATAATGTCTCAATAGGATATTTAATTCAATGAGTTAACGGCACATGTCAAACAGCAGAAGAGGCATGTGCAATATAGCTAGTAACAGAATTAGGGAAAAGTTCTGCAAATTGTACCAAGAAGATAAGAGACTCCAAGTCTTTGATAACTAAGCTCTCACCAAGCAAGACAGCATTCATTGTAGGTTTTCCAATTTAAGACCTAGAAATCCAAAATGAAACTCTACCTGAGACACAGCACAAATGGCCAAGTTGAAAATGAAGCAATTTTACAGTATTAAGTCACTGTAAAGTCTGAATCCAAATATAAGTTATCACAAGAGATCGCCCCTCTGCCAAACTTCAGAAAATTCTGGCATCTCCAAAAGGTTTTAATTACAGTTTAAAAACCTTTTAGAATACAAACTTTTTTTTACAGGATAGTGGAAAACACTCAGAAGATCCTTTCTATGATGCCTTGGGGGAGGGGGGAAATCAGGGGGGCAAGGGTGTATAGATAGCACCAAACAGATAAGATCAAGTTTAAGTTCAAAAATAGGGAAGAAAAGTCTAACAAAGAAAATGAATTTGGGTCTCTATACCACAAACAACTTTTTGAAATGCTACACAGGCTTTCCTATCTACCAATTCTCTTCAATAAATGACTGCAAAGACAAGAAAAAAGAACCTCAGATTGTTGTTGAGAAATAGATACCCTCAGGTTTAAAGATGTATTGCTATACTGGAAACCCCAATTTACAAGCCCTTAGATTTCTCTATTCAATGTTCCAACAAACATTTAGAAAGACACTTTATCTCTACTCTCAATACGCCTCAAAAATATGACTGCAAATTTTACCATCTTCACTACAAGCAAAAGCTAATCTAGAAGAGAAGATAAATGAGGAACAAGTTATCTAAATGCTTCTATTCCAGTGCTAGAAATATAACTTAATGGAATAATTATAAGCTTTAATAGAAACCAAATAGAACTACTTGCTCATGAAGGAGAGCAGAACACCAATGCCTTACAGTTAACAGTTAAAATCTCTAATGTTATAGCTAACAAATTTTTAACACTGGAACTTGAATATAAAGGAAGATCAGGTATAGAGAGGCAAGAACCCTTTTCACAAATTTCTTGGCTTTAATCAACAGAAAAGCTTTATTCCAAGCTGAGATGCATTAGTCTGTTTCACAAGCACTAGTCTAGGAAATAAGTCTGAGATTTATTCATGAAATCAGAGCAGACCAAGAGCTAGACAGGGTATTTATAAAATCAGAGTTCACTCAGCCTCAGAATCTAACAGGCTATGCAAAATTTCATAATTTCTTATACCAAGAATAAGGGGAATATCCTGTCTACTGCCATCTGGTTAACACCTAAATAGTACCTCTACTTTCTTTCCTATGAGGGATATTTTCTTAGAAAAATTAAAGCCTTCTGCCACTTAGCTGGTTGGGAAGATATATGTAAGGAATTTAGTTTGCTTAAAAGAAATGAGACCTAAAAGATTAGCCAAATCCAAAGCATGAATTAAAGTCTTAATACACAGGCAAATCTATAAAACCAGTTGGGGAAAAGCCCCTACACAGGATACTTCAAATTCCATACCCAGGGCAGACAAAGTTATAGGTGTCAATACATTAAAACCCTACCAAAAAGAACTGCTAAGGACACATGCCTTTAGCATCAATACAATAAAGCCAAAAATTCCCTGAAAAATGCTCAGAGAATCCTGGTTCTTATTGATTGGCTCCTAGTCATACATTAATATACAACCCACAAGAAATACAAATTTAAAAAATTTAAAAAATAAGCCTTCCAACAAAACATGATGACATATCCCTATCGAGAACAGTGATAATCTCAAAAATTATTTGAAAGAGATGATAAAAACAGAAATACCATCCAATCCCTATTATTCAAAAAACTAGATGCAGTATATTAGAACAAGAGCTCATAAACAAGAGGTATCCACTAAACCTCTTTAATATTTCAAAATACAGGGCTTTAGCCTGGAATCTATTGAGTAAGTCTGGAGTTGGGCACCCACTCATTAAAATCAAAGTACACTTGAATATGATGCTAGATTAGTCTGACTCAATTTCAGAAGTTATAAGCTTTCTATTTGATCCCCCCACCCTCCTGGAACCATGTTTCTATCCATCCCTAACATTTATCAACACTCCTGATTATTTTTGTCTTCCCTATACTGCCTGTCCCAGGACAAAAGCCTGTAACTTCCCTTGTCTCCCCAATGGCCCAGGGAGGAGCCACACTAATACCCAAAGATGACTTGGCCAAGAAGGAATGGATGTTGACAATCCACCAGCATTCAGCATCAACATTTCTAGTTTAAGTCTTTCCAGTTTGGGCCACATAATTAAATTTCATACTGGTTCCAATAGTTTATGGGGCTAAAAGGCCCTTTTCTCTAGACTTTTCAGGTCTCTTGATAAAAGAACCCAAGGGCTTGAACAGAAATATTCATAATTTTTACCTCTGCTATGTGCAAAATCAGCATTATTCATGTCGTTATACTGGTTTATTCATAGCAAGTTTTACAAAGCAACAATTAAGGCAAAATGAATACAAAAACTCTTTATAAATGGGAATATTTTTCTTCTGTTTACAAAATGCAATATAAAAAGTACAACTTTCACATTGTGATAATAGGCCCCAAGTATCAAAAAATGGATCCTGTAAGTTTCAGGGGTAAACTACTTTCTCAAAGAGCTTTAAGATCTACACCTGAGAGAAAGTTTTAAAGCTGCCTTCAGTTTACCAAAAAAAAAAAAAAAGGGGGGAGGGTATTAAGATGATACCCTTGGCATTCTAAATTGGGTAGAAGACAACTGTTGGGTGGTTACTAATTATTTTGATGTGTACTTGTCCCATCCAACCAGGGGCAACAACATCACACCATCATCTGACTCTTCTTGGCTACAATGAAACACAGAAAGAGAAAAGACAGAACTTTGAGTTGGTTTCCTCAGGAAGTGATAGGGATAGTCTAGAAAAAAACTATTTCAGAATCTGTCTTTAATATCATAATAGCTAAACACTGATAACAGAAAATGGAACAAAGCACCTATTACTACTATTACATTTTGAATTAGCTATCCTGTTTCACTTGTATGACCCACCTCTTCCAAGGAAAGGTATTGTATTTTAGCGGAAACCTTAGTCATTTGGCTGGAACAAGCATTAAACAAAATTTGAAGAATCGTTCCTATTTGGCACATATGCATCTGAATATTAGGGCCTAAATGGTTGCAGCTTTCCACTAACACCATTTGGGAAAAAACTAATGCTTTCATTCCAAAATTTAACTACCCTGGTTCAATGCTTTGCTTGGATTTTGGGGGTTTGGCTTCATAACCATCCTGGTGACATTCTTTTAAAAACTTCCAACAGAAAAACATTATAATCATATTATTTAGTACTGAAGGATAAAGGTCAGTGCATTAAGAGTTGGGAGAATGGAGATGGCATATACCACTAGCAGTTCCAACTCAGAAGGTACTCACTCATGTCCCAGAACAAGCTAAGTTAGATGAAAAATCTAAGGGACAACAGGAGGCCAACTGTTACCCATGCTGGAGAGCTTATCACTGCCTGGTATTTGACTACAAAGGATTATTTTTAAAGAATTGCATTTCAATCATTTGACTAAGCAGTTAAAATTAGAATTACCTAATTTATACGTTTCCCTTGGAAGGCACTTCGTTACCCTGTATATATTTTCTTCTATTAAACAAATAATGCATGCATGTTTAGCAAAATATACAGGGACACATAAACAGACTAGTAATTACTTAGCGTAGTGCTTTCTGATTCCAGATTACTTCTTATCTTAACTTCATTTTTATTTCTTTTCTTCATTCTTCCGTTTCAAATTCTGACTTCTTTCATCTTCCCCACTTCACACAAATTGCTCAATATTCTACAAGTGGGACTTCTGGTCTGATAATTAGCATGCATTCTTTCTTTTATTTTTTCAAATTTCAGCTTCACTTATTCCTGAGCTTCAAATACTCATTTATAAAACTTGTCAAATGACGACTTCCGCATTTTCC